GTTCCAGCCAGAAACACATGGTGAAATGGTGGAAACAGAGCATTTTATTTCTCAGCTCTTGCAAAGAGGCTTTTTTCTGGATTCTGTGATAACTACCAAGCTGCATGCTACAGCCAGGAAGATGTAACAAAGTCCAACAGAACAAATATACTTGAGTAGAGACCTTGATATCTGAGACATAGTGATGGGACTTGAAACCTTACCTAAGGCTTATACCAGGAGGGCTCAATGATAGAACATCTCTCAGTGTAATTTACCATATAAATAGGATTTAGGAAGAAAAATGTAGGATTAATCTCCATAGATGCTTTAAAAGCCTTTGATAAAATTCAACACTCATTCCTAATAAAAGCTCTTGAGAAAATGGGATATTCCTTAACTCTAGATGTACATAAGATGTGTGCACATATCTATACCTATGAATATATAGCTATATATACACACACACAAACATATACTATAGTGTGTATATATACACATGGCCATATTATATACTGTACTAGAATTATAGTATATAAAATTACTGCAACTATAACTATGCAAATATATGTATATAACCAGATGCAATGAAAGGAAAGATGGATAAATTTGACTGCTTAAAAATAATTCACATGGAAAAAAAGCAAAGTCAAAAGGCAAATGTGAAAATATTCACAACATATCTCATGAATAAAAAGTAATAAAGAACTTACAAATATTGAGGATAAAAAAAGCTGGAAAATTCTGTGGAAAAATGGGCTAAGGATATGATACCAATGAGTCACCAAAAAAAGGTACAAAAGTAACTCTTAAACACTTGAAAAAATTTTAAGTTCATTCACGTTAAAAGAAATGCAAATCAAAACTTCGCTGAGACATTGTTTCTTCCTCATTCACTTGTCAAGAATTTGAAAAGTTTGACAACATGCTCTGTTGTCAAGGCTGTGGGGGAACAGGCACTCTCATATATTGCTGAAGGGAATGCAAGATGGTACCACCACTACAGAGAGGAATTGACAATATCGAACAAAACTCCATATTAATTTATCCTTTGACTTAGCAACTTCTCTTCAGGAATTTACTCTGAAACTCAGCTTCCAATGACATCAAACTATATATGCACAAAGTTATTCTTGGGAGCATTATTTGTCATTGCCAACTACTAAAAACGATCCAAATTTACAAACATAGGAGATTGATTGAACAAACTATAGTAAATACACAAAATGGCAAACTGCACAGCTGTGAAAACAAGACAGAAGAAAATCTCCATTGACTATTATGGAGTGATTTCCAGGAGTTAGTATGAAGAGAAAAAAAGCAAAGTGCAAAGAGTATGTAATATGCTACCTCTGTGTAAGAAAGAAGGAAAAATTAAAAAGTATATTTATGTAAATATATATAATTTATATTATATGATGTCCATCTATCTCTATGACGGTGGTAAGCTGACAGTGCAGTGGACATGTGTGTTGTATTGTAAGTATAAGTACATGCCTATTTTCCCCAGATCTGTCTTTTGAATGGACCAAGAAGCAAAGATATTCTGGTAGCAGTAAACACACCTGACACTCAGATTTTGGCCACTAATATAATTTCATGCTGAAAGGAATAAAAACTTTTCAGAGAAATATCTGATGAGGGACAAAGTAGATACAATATGAGATCGGAATATCTTCTTACGCCAGAAAATAAGAACATATTCCAAAAAATGCTAGGGGTATGTCAGAAAGATACAAGGTCAGCTTTACATCTCCTGCTGGTCAAACCTAGGACAATTTAAGCACCAATATAATTAACTATACAATGAGTTAGAAACCATTGAGAAAAGTAGGAATTCATGAATCCTTACCAGTAATAGATGACAGACATAAGGTGAGGGGGAGAGAGAAAAGGGAGGAAGGAAGGGATGAATGAAGGAAAAGAAAAGCAAAGGAAAGAAAGGAAGGAAGGAAGAAAAGGAAGGGAGGGAGAAAGGAAAGAAGGGAAAAGAGGGCTGTTGCCTGCAGTGGAATGCTGAGAAGTTGGGAACTTACCATTTCATAATCATTATAGTAAAGATTGAATCAGGCTAGATTCATCATCAAATACTAAATTAACGAGGAAATTTTAATGACAGTCAGGCTATTCTCATGGTCTCTAATGGTCCACCTGAAGTAAGCTTATTAGCTACAAGGGAGGAAAAAAGAAACAGTAATTATGTAGTGGAGAAATTAGACAACCATTTGATCAAGTGATCAAAATTAACATCAGTGACAGACAGATGGACACCCTGCTCCTTTAGATGTCATACCCTGAGAAGGACACACTATCTCCTGTGTAATATTAAGGCAGAGAATGAATAAACTGAATCCAGTCACAAGGTAGCATCAAATAAGACACAAAATAGGAAATGCCTAAAGGCAAAAAAGGAGGGGAGCTCTGAAAATATTCCAGATTAAAGAAGGCTAAAAAGACATGACAATTAATTGCACTATGTAACTCTAGACTAGATCCTTTACTGTAGGAGAATAAAAGCTATAAAAGAAATCTGGCAAATCAGATCTGACATTTGTCAGAGCAGCTGAGAAAACTGAAATATAAGCATAAAACTAGATTAAAGTATTGATAACTCTGCTGTGGTTATCTAAGAGAATTTTCCTACTCTTAGAAAATGCACACTGCAGTATTTAGGGTAAATGGCCATGATGTATATAACTTACTCTCAGGTGGGTATGTGGGCATGGATATGTAATACACACATACATGCATGCATGCATATGTACATTTACATGCAGGGAGAGAGAACAGCAGGTGATAAAATATTAACAATAGATAAATCTAGGTAAAGGGAATATGTAGGGTTTTTTTATTTTACTGTTTTTATTTTTGCAAACTTTTAAAAAGTTTTTTCCAAAAAGAAAGCTTAAGGAAGAAAGTTCTTAAGACCCTAATAAATAATGCTTAATTTGATTCAAAACCAGCCTATTTTTCCAAACATTACAGCCCTTAGTCAGTATGACAAGATACCAAGATCCATTTCTTTGGAGGAGTTTCCTCTCTATTTCTGGGTGTTATTTAATCTCGAAGTTCAGAAGAAAATAAATGAGGATTCATCCTGCACGTTGACTGTTTTTGTTTCATTTCTGGGTCCTATTCTGCCGTAGGTACTGGCTGGGACCCACCAAAACTTCAATCAGTTTTTCTTTCTTAAGGAAATGAATGGAGCCCTTTGATTTCCCCAGAACTCCAGGGCAGACTTTTCCTCTCACCATTAAACCACTTTATATCAAAGGAGACTAAGCTGTCTCTCCGGAATTCACCCAAGAGAGAAACTCCAGTTCCTGCTCAAGCCCTTGAGCAGTGTTTTCTGTTGACACCTTAGCAGAAATTATGGAAACAGTTCACAGTTACAGCAGTGCCCGCGGCGGGACCCCAGCCATGGGCATAGTGGGGGCGGGCTCTGGCTCAGGGTGCAGCTTCCCACCTGGGGCTCCCCAAGCAGAAGTAGGGGCAGAAGACCCAGCAACCACCTCCCTTTCTTCTCCTAGAGAACTTTAGTCCTCTTTCCAAATTTTTACCAAACAGCTTGACCAATTTGTATGTGTTCAGTAAATACTTACTTTGAAGATACACTGAGACTTAAGTTTGGTTTACTGAGACCAAACTTTTTAGTCTGTTGTGTTGCTTGGGTATCATGTTCAAATCAGAACTCAGAGGTAAGGAAATGCATGCGGTGAACTCCTCTGTGGGACTGGAATGCCCTGGAGACAGCTCAGCACCGCCAGAGTGAGCAGAAGCCCTGGGCCAGGTTAGCACTCAGTTCAGTACTGTGTGCACGAATGGTCTGGATCATGGCAAATGAGTGAAGGAGAGATAGAAAAGTCCCTTGTGGAACAGAGAACTGAGGTGACAGTCTCTAACTCAATCTGGTGAGCTGAGATTTTGTTTGACTCATTCCATGTCATGGACCAGTACATCCACTTACATCTATATTCTTCAAAATGTTCTTATTGTGCAAGGCCAGTCAGGCTAGAGGAGACCAGGGTCTAAATCTGGGTGGGTTGACAGATGCCTTAGATTGAACAGGTTTCTAGGTCAGTTTCAAAGTTTCACTCCTGTGGGTGGAATCAGTCAGATATCCACAGGTGCCGAGAGGAAAGCCAGACCCAGGGAATCAGTGAAGACTAAACTAAGGACACACAAACACCGTCAGGGGTGAGGGGAATGAGATGTTGTTCAAAGGGCACAAACTTCCAGTTGTAAGAGGAACAAATTCTGAGGAATCTAAAGTACAGCAGGGTGACTGTAGTTAACAATACTGTATTGTATACTTGAAAGTTGCTAAACGAATTGATCTTAAATGTCCTCACCATAACAACAAAAAAAGGTAATTATGTGATGCGAAGAATGTGTTAACTAACTTTATTGTGGTTAACATTTCCCAACATATGCATGTATCACCTCATCACCTTGTACACACTTACACAATGTTATATGTCAGTTACTCTCAGTAAGACTCCGGGGGAAGAACACCAGTTAGCCAGGTGAGGAGCTGTGGTCTGAAACTCTGAGAGCAAGAACAGATCTCAACATGTCGAAGAATAGCCATGGGAGTTCGTTCTATAGGTGAAGCTTTTACCTGATGGAGAGTAGAAGTCTTAGGTAGGAATTTTTTGGTCCCCTGCTCTTTGAAGGAGATAGTCACGTCTCCAGTGGCAAGAGAAATCTGGCCTATGTCACTGACTGTTAACCTGCTGTTGCTCCAAGTTGCCTAAGGTTTGGGCAAATGAATACTAGTTCAAGCTGTGGCCTCACATCCACGTGTGGTCTTCCACCTCACCGAGTGGGCTGGAGCTTGAGTGAACCAAGAATCTTTGCTGTGTCTAATAAGCTTTTTGGTACCTTTCCCTCAGACCTGAGACTTTCATCTTGGGGGACATGAATGCCCAGGGATATGGGTGTGTGCCAGAAGGGACTCGAAGCCACAAGATAAACATAGCACATCTAGAACATCAATTTTATTCAAGTGTAGTCTACATATAACAAAGTTTGAATGAATTTGTTAAACAAACAAACAAAACATGCAACTGGAAAGAAATGCCATGATAAGTGCTTGCCTTACGGGGCTCCAGAGAGTACACGTTTACCCTTCCCCAGGGTCAGGGCATCTCAGGTGGTAGAGCTGGGGAATTCTGCTCTCGGGCCACACACACACCAGTCCTGCCACTGTGAAGGTGTTGGAAGCGCCAAAGGTGACTCCCATCCTGGCCTTTCATTCTCCTCACTCTGAGGACATCACTAAGTATCTTCTGAGACTGGCTTGCTGAGGTCAGAGCATCTCATCCTGGGTGCTGAATGTGGGGAGAGGGTAGAGAAAATGTTGAGCTGTCCAAGAGGCTAGAGTATGTAACCAATGTAAATGCTTTATTAGAAAACTACTCCCAAAACCACAATTCAAATTTTTGCCGGTTGCAGCATGACCTTAGAATATCAGTTCCATATTTATGTAAAAAATGTTCCAGTCATCCCAGGCCTAGCAAAAGAAGTCAAAGATTTGAGTAAAGCAAAGTAATAAAGAGGAGAGGAAGGAATGGCTTCAGTGTGTAAAGATGCAGTTTTACAGCTGCAGGAGGGAAAATACAGAATATGACTGGAAAAAAGGTCAATCTTCCATCAGCCCTGCTACCTTCAGAGAGAGTTGATAAGGGAAAAACACCAAAGATTTATTATTTTTATTTACTTAGAAATTTATTTACTTTGTCTTTTTAAAACAAGAATTATTTACGTTGGTTGAAGTTGTTTTTTCAAACTTGTAACTTTAATAATGAAGTTGGGAGAGAAGGACAATATCTGCTCCCAGTTACCCTGATATTTACTCCTTGGGTGATGCGGCATCATCGTATTTCCAACTGATGCCAGCAACCCAATATGCAGAATCAGGTCATTAAAAAAGAATGTACTCCTTTTAAAAATTAACTCTGCTAAATGAATAACAAATGTACAGAGGTCATTCTAATTTCGACTGCAGGTCAAATGATTACGAATATACATACTAGTACACACGTGTTCTCCTAAGAGCTGATGTCACTCATAATTCCAGGAACCTTGGGGCGGGGTAATTAGGGAGAGCACTTGGTTTTCCTGCCAGTTAAACCAAAATGGTTTTCTCTGATTGCTTAAATTTACATACAACATGGACAAGAACTGCAAAAATTGACTGACATTTCAAAGTCTTGATTTAAAGCTTTTGGGACATAAAAGTCCCCCGAGGAAATTTTTTGAAAAGGCAGAAAAAAAGGCACCCCAGGGGATCTGATTCAGTAGGGTTGCAGTGTGACCCAGGAATCTGTATTTTATATAACCTCCCAGCTGTTCTTACCAGTGCCGGTGACGTGGAGATATTTTTTCAGGGTCATTGAAACAGAGCGAACTCACTGTGCGCATGAAGTGTGCCTTTTCTACCAGAAGGTGGCTCCATAACATATTAAATCAGGCACTTTGCAGCTTGACCAGCGAACGAACTGGAAAATAAAGGTCTTCAGCCTCTCAGTTGCCTTTTTGGTGATGGGGTGGGTGGCAAGGGGGAGTGGAAGAGCGTGCAGGAGTATGGCGCACTAGAAGGAATAAATGGACATTAAACTAATTTTACCATCATCCCTTGTTTTTAGCTTCTCTCAAAAGTATTATAGCAACATTTGTTAATAGCAGGGTGTATGTATCTTTTTGAATTAATTCTTATTTTGTGGTTGGCTTTATTCCTTTGATAACTAAGTTTAAAAAGCTAAAGCTCTAAACATTCTTAGAAATAATGAGCAGTACATATATGTAATTTTTTTTAATGTGTAGCAAAACTAAATAAGTAAAGAAGTAAATAAATGATTAAGAAGTATGATAGCAACATTGTGTTGTTAAAGGAAATTTTCTTTGAATATATCAGAAACACTTGATGTCTAATAATATAAAAGGCAGAGAGGCTCCCAGAACCTGCCTGACCACCAAGCTTTCACGTTCAGGAGGAACAATGTTTTGGCCGGCTACTGTGGCATTCACTTCTGTCTCCTTACAGAATCCCTGTGTGGGCTTAAATGCTGGGTGAGCATGAGGTGATACCACACTAGTGACTTCCTGTTTAACCAGCCGCTGCTCTCTCACTCACATTCTTAAAGGCACTCACCTGGGTATGATCTGGAACTGGGTCACAATAATGGCTCTAGCCCTGGTCAACAAAGTAACTGATCCCCAGCTCCTGACTCATTCCTGAATGTCTGAGTTGTATCATCTGTGTTCCCAAGGCAGTGTGCTTGGCTACCTGCCCTTACATGAAGACTCCTGAGTGTCTCGAGCTGCTGCAGTGATGTCACTGTTCCTGAAGGTAATTGTTGCTACTGTCATCATGTCCTTAGCACCACCCACATGGGTGACATTTCTTCATTCTACTCTGATCCGTATCACATAGTTTTCTGGTCTTGAATTGGGGAAAGGAGGTTGGGAATGACTAGGGATAAACTTTGCGAGTATGAGGCGCAAAGCAGAGCAGGCTTCCACTCCACCCCATCTTTCATTTACTGGGCGCCTCATGTCAGTCCCTCACCCTCCCCACACCCTCCAGCCAGGAAAAAAAAATCGTGAATGAGACATTACTATGGAATTCAAGGATCATACCACTTCTCTCACCTCCAGGCAATGTCTCTGGGCCAAACACATGCCTGGATGCTAATCCTCTTTGAGGTCTCTTCCTTTCCCATCTAGCACACAGACTCAGAGGTAAGACAGCACAGGGTCTTAGATGTGGGGCCAGAGACAGCCCCAGCCCCAGTATCATTAAGTCAGTGTGTTTCTTCCAAGGCTCTTAGGGTGCCTTCAGTCAAGGAAAATCCAGGCCATCTTGCCCTGCCAACCAGATCTGCCCAAATGGCAAGCTGCCCTAGGACCATTGGTGTTCGTTTATGCAGTCATTCGAAAGAAACTGAACCATCTTAAACATTTCCAAAATATAATGTAGCTTCTAAGAAAAGGCAAAGCCTACTGTCACCTCTTTAGGAATTCAGTAGGGTCCTGGATCAAATAATGGAGAAAAACATTTCCAGAAAAGAAAACAAAATTTGTAGACGTATTCACAGAAACACATTTGGTCACATATGATAAAAATGAATGGACAGTTTGATGAGACTTTTCATGTGATGAAAGTAATTCCAAGTGGTCCACTCAGGCCCTTGAGTTATAGGTCCTTGGAGATGAGAAGTGGGGTTGGAGTGGCAAGCGCCATAGTTTAAAAGGCCCAGCACGCAGTCTCCGTGTGCCAGCACTGCAGTGTGCTTTCTCACTTTGTTCTTGCTTAGATAGCCGATTTCAGTGATTTACCTGAAAGACTGTCTTTCTCCAATAGTTCTTCACTGTGCCGGAGTTATCTTCCTAAAATACAACGTGGATCATTCTACTACCCTTCTCAAAAACCTGCAGTGGCCCCTTTTATCTATAGGGGAAAATGGTCGAAACTCCTTAATGTACTTTGGTCATAAACATCCTTTACCAGGTTTACAATAATAATAGGTAACATATAATGAGAAGCCAGTGACATAATGATCAAGAGACTTGGAGTCACAGCTCTGCCACTAACCAGCTAGGAGCTCGTGGGCAGAGTTACGGGGCCTCTAAGCATCAGTGCCCTTTGTCTGTTGGGGGTAGGAATAGAACTAACTCGTTGGGCTCTTGTGAGGTTCGTGAGAGTAACTGAGCTGTATTTCCCATATACTCCACGTGCTGCCACTCTGGTGTGGTTTTTGTTTCTCACATCTCCCATTCATTTTCACAGCTTTGGTTATGTTTTCTCAGCTACACAATCCCTTTCCTGCACCAAAACCCTCCACCCATTTTCCACTTGCAAAAACTTTTCTCAGAATTCCAGACCTGGCTTGAATGCTACCTCTTCTAATAATGCATCCTTTGTTCCTTCCCTCATAAAAATGCATACCTCTTTATTGTCCTCCTCATGTATCTCTATTATCCCTGCATTCAGCCTCACATTACATTTTGGAATTCACATATTTTACTCTGTTTTCTCCTGAATTATTATCTGAGGCTCATCAGATTCCAACTTTTATTTAACTTTTCTTCCATTCCTAGCACCAGTCAGCATGATTTGTACATGATAAACACTCCCTTGGTTGTAATTACTGATTAAAACTGACTTTCTCTAATTATTTACAATAGCCAAGACATGTAAACAACCTAAATGTCCATCGACAGATAACTGGATAAAGAAGTTGTGATATATTTATACAATGGAATACTATTCAGCCATAAAAAAGAATAAAAGAATGCCATTTGCAGCAACATGGATGGACCTGGTGATTGTCATTCTAAGTGAAGTAAGCCAGAAAGAGAAAGAAAAATACCATATGATATCACTTACATGTGGAATCTTAAAAAAAAAAAAGACAAACGAA